AGTTCTTCAAGCATGTCAAACACAAAACTCAACCAAATGACCATCTATGAACGTAGAATCGATCTATATGAGCATTCTAGTCATTAGATATATCTACAGGCTTACATTGAAGCATAAGGGAGGTTTTGAAGATTTTCCGGTGAAACTTCCAGCGACTCTATCTCACTGCTCCGGCGACCTCACACAAAGATGACAGCACCACTGGACTCTACTCTCAACAAGGAACAATATAGAAGGAAGAATGAGTTGTTTTGGTGATGAAATGAGAGAGTTGGGTTGTTCTTAAATAGCACTGGGAAGAAGAAGAAGACACAAGTTTGCAGCTTCCGTGATTGAGCGACGAATTTGGAATCGGCGTAATTGAACAGGGCGCCGTTTGGTGTGTAGTCCCTGATTGGGACTAATTTTGGTCCTAGTTGGGGTACACTTTTTGTTCTAACTTTCTCCAAATTGAAATCCGATTGAACCGTTGGGGTCAGACAGTCAAACTCTACACATTGATATAATTTTCATTATTTATTGACAAACTTTAGAATTTACTTATTTTTGGGTCCTTCTCAGTAATTAATTATAAATTAATTAACTCTGATAGGCCTATTTTTGGGGGGTTAGATTGCAGGTTGGGTTCGTTCTGTGTATCTTATGCTTGGACGTATTCTTCGTTCTTTTAGACAATTCGTGACCATACTTTTACTTCAGAATTTTGAAACACATTAGGTGTATTATTTATTAATTTGGGTCATCACTAGGTGTCGTGTATCCCGTTTTGTTTTTCGAAAGGATCTAGGTTGGTTGCACTCCAAAATTAGTGCAAATTTCCGAAGGTCCTACGGTGCACACATCATGTTCGATGAAATGTCCCAATGATGTTCATAAATGGAACATCTTATTTTAACAGAGTACTCTTTGTTTCTCAGTCAGATTGCACAAGATAAATGATTCAAGATATGCTTGATAATGCTTTTTATGTTGGTGTCTATAACATTAAGGCACGCTTATGTTTTTATATATTTTTTCGCTTCACTCTTTATTTTATGTAGACGGTAATGATAAATTAGTATTAACTGTGTGATTTCTCTAGCTACTGAACAAGGATAGGAAAGCATGGAGAATTAAGAATTTTGCGGATATTTCTCTACATCCAAAGAAAGATTCACCTGAGATAAGAGTCTGGGAGTGCTTCTTACCTTACTGTGTTTCTGTTCATTGTTTTAAGTTTTTTCTTCATGTTTGTGTGTTTTTTATTTCATCACAATGACAATATTAACATGCATTAGTTCTATTACATTGAACACTAGTTTTTTAGTATGTTTATTATTTGCAATTAGCTCACTGCCTATACTCAATTTTATTCAGGTGCTAGGTCAGAATAGATGAATTGAGCCATATAATGAATCTAGTGGCAAATTATGCGTGTACACATTCAGTTTCTTGGACTATCATTCCTAGTATATCTAGTTGTGTTATTATTTTCTCTAAAGTTTTCAACATTGGCTTGATGAGTTTTTGACATTTGGGTTGTTCTGTTGGGTTAAGTTGGCTCTTAGTAGCCTTATTCATGAGATTTTCTGCTACAGTTTGCTATTACTAGCTTTGTTCTAGAGTTTTACTGCTTCTGTTTGGTTTGTATTTAATTTTTTTCAATAAGAATTTCCTTTTCTGCAAAAAAAACTCATGCATTCTCTACTCTCAATCATCTTCTTTTTAACTATAGAAGTTCCTTAGCTTCTTGAATAATTGCATTACACCATATTATACATTATTTGTTACATAATTATTGGATCTAGCTAGCTTCTTACACCATGGGTAATCTAAATATGGAAAATATCTTCATTGAACATTCTTACCTTTGATGTTTATTTTAATACTTTGATGTTCATTTTTGTTGCAGTGGAACCAGCGGATAAAGTTAAACTAAAACTTGAAGCTCCCGGAGTTGTTGTCACATGAAGCCTCTAGAGGGATTGGAAGAGTCATTTCAAGGAATTGAAGTTACTTCTACAACTTTGAAGTGTTTTGCAAGTTTAAAGAGAAGTTTTGATTTTGTACATTGTACGTTCCAAATGCTAGATGTTAGTCTATGTATTAGAATTGTAATACTTATGCATGTTTTTCATGTAATAACATTTATTGTTTTGTTACGGAGTAAAACATACTCCGTATGTCTACTCTTAAAAAGTGAAATAATTTTAAAAAAATGTATGTGTGAGTACGATTGTAATAGCTAGTCTATAATAGTATTTTTTTAAAATATAAAGTGAATTTAGACGGTGGATAAATATCTTCCGTCTAAAGTAATAACTTTACACATCGAATAAATTTTTCTTTAGACAACGAAAAATATCCAATGTATATTCAACCGATGGGAAAAGTCATGACCTTAGACAACGGATAGATATCCACTGTATAAAGTCAAGACTTTTCCCATCAGTTGAATGTACAAAGGATATTTTTCGCTGTCTAAAGCTAAATTTATCCGATGTGTAAAGCTTGTTTTGTAGTAGCGTATCCATTTTCATTGTAAAAAAAATTATCGTTACTCTGAACCTTTAACATAGTTCTAGGCTTAAGAGCTAGACTACTGTATAAAACGAGTATTCTTAACTTTATTATTATAGATAACTGTGAAAAAAACGGTGTGACACACACTACTAGTAATACATTACGGTTTCTCAAAACTTTAAAAATAGTTCTAGGCTTAGTAGTCTAACTACAGTTTAAAAAGGGTATTCTTAATTTATTATAGACAACTTGTAATAGATTACGGTTTCTATGAATTTAAAAAATAGTTCTACGCTATATAAATATACTACTGTTACAAGGGAGTCTTCTATTCTTATAATAAACAACTATGCAAAACAAAACCATATGAAACATACAACTTACAATAGAATACTATTTCTTATAAGTTTAAAAACAGTTATAAACTGAAAAACCAGACTACTGTTTAGAAATAGTAGTCTTAACTAATTTTTGACAACTGTGGCAACAAAAACTGTATTTTAAGATGAAACGGACTACTAATAAAAGATTACCGTTTCTCACAACTTTAAAAGCAGTTCTACCCTTACTTCATAGACTACCATTACAAAAGAGTCTTCTATTCCCATTAGACACAACAGTGGCAAACAACCATATGAAACAGACAACTAGCGATAGATAACTGTTTCTAATAAGTTTAAAAACAGTTCTAGACAAAAACACCAGACTACTGTTTAGATAGAGTATTGTTAACTTGTTATTGACAACTGTTGTAACAAAAACTGTATTTTAAACTGACACAGACAGCTAGTGATAGATTACCATTTCTCGAAACTTTAAAAATAGTTTTAAAGCATAATAGCTAGACTACCGTTTTGTTGCCAAGAAAAACTTACAGTAGTATGTTTTTTTCCAACTACTGTGTTTCCATTAACAGTAGTTAATCAATAGTCGTCTGATACTGTTTTTGGCGTAGTGACAAGAATGCTCTCACACAAAAATGTTTGCCCCTTAGGAAATTNCCCCCCCCCCCCCCCCCCCCGTCTTAAAGAATTTGTAGTCCACAAGTGAAAAATAATCTTTAAAATTGATATTGAAAGTAAGATATTGAAAATATGATAATTGAGTTAAGTTATAATGTACTTTACAAATTATATTTTTCTATTTTAAAAATATTTCATTTTACAATTTCAATACTAACTCCCTCCTTTCCAATGAGTTTTGTTTAGGTTGTCATTTTAGAGTCAAGTTAAGCACATTTTATAATCAATTATATAAAAATTAAAATGTTTACTCATAAAATAATAAAATAGTTTTCCAAGTTCCCGTGCTATTTAGAGATTAAGACTTTGAGCTTTACTATTTTGTCCTTTTATATAAATATTTTGAATCAACAAATAATTATTTTTTAAATAAATGAATACGTACATATAAAGAAATACAACTACTATGTATATAAATTGTACTCAATAGTACATTAAAGAGCATATTATAAGGGATATGGGTCATTACTAGCTAGCCTTAGATGCACATTAAACATGGGTGCACAAAAGAGTTCCGTGCACTGATCTAAGGGACTTGATATATTTTACAAATCATTTTTATATACGACATCACCATAAATAGGAGTAAAATATATAGAAAATACTAAAATAAGGGTTTCATATTTTTATTGCGTAAATAGGATTTTACACTGTGGTAATGTGGCATTGTGCATATACATTTTACTATACTTTTTGGTAATTTAAATGATCATGATTTAAAATGTATATGCATTTTAACTCCTGTTTTAGGAAAAAAAACATGAAACTCTTATTTTAGTAAATTTTCAATGTTTTACTCGCACCTTAGTCTTTTTTCCTTTTTTTACCCATATGAAATGTACTACGTAACTTTATTTAATTGATGATCAAAATTTTTCTGGTTTACTTCCAAAGAGTCAAGTGAATAATTTTTGTGTCATAAATTATGTTTTTTGTCAAATTACTTCCCTTATCAACAAATTTTATTAGAATCTAAATCATATTCCCAAAAAATTTGGAAATTGGTGATGTAATATTTGTTTCATACGTAATTTGGAACATTAGGGTTGTGCAAGATATGATTAGAAATGTAAATCGAGATGTTGGGTATGAAATAATTGTGATTTCTCAACTAATTAGAAGTATTAATTATTATTATCACCCAACATGGATATGGAAATAAGATAGACATGCTTGGAACATGGCTCTTGACACATGAGCCAAAGAAAGGTTCAAAACTTGATGATGTTTCAGCTATGAGAAAGGTAAATAAAAGTAGGCAAAACTTTTATTTTACATTGTTTTTTAGATAATTATACCCTTATTCATTGATAATTTATTCATAAATTTACAGGAGTTAATTCTTAAGGAGTTAGATACTTTGAAAGATGTAGAAGTTGGTGCACCTGCTCGTGATGAAGTTTTTGAAAAGGTAGTGGGAGAAGACAAAAAAGGGATATGCAAAGACCTTTGGTATGGGATTTAGAGTTCCTCGATCTCATTCTAAACGGTGCGTCTTGAAGTAGGAGAAAGAAAAAAGATTAAAAATTGAACAAGAGCATGAAGAAGAAATGAGACTCCAAAATTTAGAAGATGTAGTATCATTTCTTTTAAATACCCTAGTTAGTCCCTATTTATCATTGTTCACTATCCATATTTCATTTGATTTTTGTTTAGTTCATTATATAGTTTAAAGTTATGCCACCTAGTATGAGTGTAAGGTAAATTTGGTGCAAAATTTGCAATTACGTTATCATGTGCTTATAATTTTTTTGTTGCATAGGGTTCAACGACTAATCATTCTGAAATCAATGACCTTACAATTGATGATAATACAACCACTGAGAAAAGTCATGATGAGGATCGATGGAACAAAGATGATGAAGTTAAAAGTGATGAACTTGAAGATGTAGACAGTGATGAGCATTAAAGCTCTGGACTATATCATCCATATCAATGCGTATTTTAATTTCGTTCACTTTGACTGTTTATACTTTAGTTTGAAACGTACGTAAATAATGAACTAATTTTGAGATGTTGGTTTACTTTCTAGTAAATGGGTTAGTTGTAACCCTTTGAAATGTTATCATATTATGTATTGATGTTGATACAAGTATGAGTATTATTTTTATTTGTCAATGAAATTCTTTAATATCACTTAAATAGAGCTTGCTGGTGTGAAACATGGTATTAGTAACAGTTATAATAAATGTTAATGTTGGTCAAAAGAACTATTACCGACAGAAAAAAATATTTTACTCACACAATTTTTTGTAGGTAATTTAACTTTTAGCGACGGTTATTATAAATGTTAATGTTGGTAAAAATAAGGTATTACCGACAGAAAAGAGGGATTTACCCACACTATTTTTTGTCGGTAATCCATATTTTAGAGACATATATATTTTGTCGGTACTTCTCTCTTTTTTAGCGACATCTTCGGTGTGTCGTTATTATACTATTTTAGTGACAGTATATTTTATCTGTCGGTAATATTTTTACTGACGGAGTTTTTAGTGACAGCGTAGCGACAGACAATTATCTGTCGGTATAAGCGAGTAGCGCACAGATATTCAACTTTTAGCGACATATTGACCCCTGTCGATATTGCCTCATTTTTTTGTAGTGATTACTTCCCTAATCAACAAATTTTATTATAATCTAAATTATATTCCCAAAAACTTTGGAAATTGGTGATTTAATATTTGTTTCATACGTAATTTGGAACATTAGGGTTGTGCAAGATATGATTAGAAATGTAAATCGAGATGTTGAGTATGAAATAATTGTGATTTCTCAACTAATTAGAAGTATTAATTATTATTATCACCCAACATGGATATGGAATTTGGCTTATGAAATGTGTTAGGATCCGAATAAAAAAAAGGCATTGCTTCACTTCTTTGGTTTGATGTATTAACAAGACTGATGAATATAGATAAACTAGTATTCAACCCCGTGCTTCGCACGGACTGGGGATGGATGCACGCTTTCTTGTTTACGACATTATGTACACATTATTATATCTAGGAATTAGCACAACAATAATGTCAATGTATTAGTCTTCATGACATGTGTGTGCACTATAATAATTGATGCATAAAGCAGGTTTGCATTAAAACGGTGGGGTTAGGATTTATATGTGGTGCAAAGTATGCATACTCGTTTTTGGAAAATTTTTCAAGGGGTCGTATTTTCTTCATTTGCCCTTAATTATTTTCCTAATGGTTGGACTCCCACCTCTTGAAAATTACTTTCATTGTTTCTACTAGGGAGAAAGACCAAAGTAGGATTAAAACATTGAAAATATACCAAAATAGGACTTCCATGTTTTTATTTTCAAAATAGGACTTACATTACCAAACGTGGTCATATACATTACCAAAAAAGTGTAGTAATTTGCACATGTACACTGACACATTACCACAATGCAAAGTCACACTACCACAGTACAAAGTCTCCAGTAAAAAAGAAAGTTTTATTTTGGTAAATCAGGTGTACAAGGGTGAACAACCTAAGCTTGATCCAAGAAAGTCACCTCTCAATTTTCTTCCCAATCCAAACAATGTAAACCTGTAATCCGATCACACGCAGTCGCTGCAAACTATCCGGTAATGCATCTAAATCTTGAATTACCCTTGCAGTGCTATCTACGGATCGGGGGATTCGATTCCTGCCGCATATGAGTTTGTGCTTGTGTTTGCTCAGTAAAGTGTTCGGAGTCTACCACTCAAAATCGATCGAAGGCTACGATGGAGCCAAGTCAGTATACCAGGTTTGCTTTCATTTCGGATTAGCATAGATATAAGGCGTTTCTTGATAAATGACTTTTGGATCAGCATTATGCCGCTTTTTTATTCAAAACAGCATTTGTGACTGGTCAATATGCAGAATGAATTGTTTGGTATATTAGCAATTTGAATCAGCATTGCGTTGAACAAATGCTGATAGGTTCATCATTTTGGAAAATATCATTTTGATAGACATTTTAGTTTCACTACCATTTATCCTTTTATAAGCTGCTAACACGCCAGTGGGCGTTGATTCTAGGCATATGGTCTCTGCAAGTACCAGACTCCATTTTTTGCCGCGAATATGCAATCAAAGTCTAATTTGCCTCATCTCTGTAACCTTTTGGCCGGGTCTCCGGGGATGGGGCTCATCCTTTTTTTTAATAAGTTGCTAACGGATAGTCAGTGTTTCTTCTAATAACTGTATGCTAATGGCTGTTTGCCAAACACCCCATAGTTATTGGATGGAAGACTAGGGCTTTTTACTAATCTGATTTGATGGCTGCATATGTGATTGTAGTTCGCTGGCTGCACTAGCATATGGGATTGCTTCAATGGCTATGGTGTTCATAAATAAGGCCGTGCTAATGCAATATTCTCAATCAATGACGCTGCTCACTTTGCAGGTGTAAACTTGTGTGATTCCTAATGTGTTGGGTGTTCTATGATTAATACTTTAATTCTAAAATATGTGTTTGGATGGTGCTAGCAAATAGCATCAACTTTGCTGATTCACTTCAGTAGGGTACTTGGATACACTAAAGCCAGAGCGTTCAACATTGATACTGCGAAGAAACTTTTCCTAGTTTCCTTGTTCTATAATGCAAATGTCGCTTTTGCACTAGCGAGCTTGAAAGGAGTAAATATTCCAATGTATATTGCCATCAAAAGGCTTACACCACTTTCTGTATTAGTAGCTGGATTCTTTTCGGGAAAAGGAAGACCTACAACTCAGGTTTATACTTTTGTTTTTGCTCCTTTACTGTATACTTCTCTCACGTCACATTTTAACACTTTTTAGCTCTC